CTAAGTAAGGTATATTCTAAACAATTTCTAGAGAATCAAAAATATCAATACTTTAAGTGTATAAGGATTTGTTGTTTGAATGCTTTATACAATGAAGTATCATAAAAATGATGAACCCCATTAGTTTGTCTATATTTTGTCAATACAATCAAACTAGAAGTTTTATACACTTTCTATAGAAAACATGGTATAGTCCAATCCAAGTCTTTTTTGGTCTTTCGACTTATTGATTGCGTTTCAAGTTTTTCAGATTTTTTTTGGATTCTGGATTTTGTGTATAATTGTAAATAATACTACTGAGCTTATACAGAATTTTCAAATTTCTGCGAGGAGAGATAGAAAATGAATTGAGTATTTCTTCTTTGACCTGCTTATTGAAAAGTTTCAAGTAACATTCGATGAATTAAAGTAAATTTAATAAAAAGTATATATGTAGAGCAGGGCAAGGCACAAAAGTCCAAAAATACAATCTTTTTATAATTGATATCGTTATCAGAAATCGTTTTCGAACACTGTAGTTCACAGTGCACCTAGCACGAGCGATTATCGAGGATATTGCGAATGCATAATTATACATCAAGATAATCCTAGAGAAAACATTACAATAAAGATTCTTGTACAAACAACACCACTTTTGCAAGTGGTAGACAATTAAGATAAAGACAAAGGTAAATATAAATGCGTCGAAAGGAATTTGAAATTTATATTTGATTTTCTTTAATTATTACATATCCTATGACTATATCGGATCTTAAAAATCGATAATTGTTTCTTGTTCATTTTATTGCAAAGTCGACATTGATGCTTCTGAACAAACATCTCAAATTATTAAATAATATATCAGGCGGAAATGAGAGGTATCTATAATATTAACTAATTTTTTATGCTAGTTTTGTAACACCTTGGTTCTCTTCAAAGTTTCTTTGATGATATTGCTATTTTATAGAAGGCATGCTTAAATACTTTTTCAGCACCATAGATTTAAATATGTTTTATTTAGAATTTAGTTTTGCTGTCTATTTATAATTTTTTCATGTTTATTTTTTTCCATTTCTTGTATTTTACTATTTATCTCTAACTCCAATTTTAGAAACTCTCCAAATAGATTTTGTAGGCCCATTTTCTATAAAAGTTAAAGTAAATAACAATAGGTGAGGGAGCGTCCATTAATCACGTGAGATTTTTAGGGGGATGGGAGGTTTGGCAAAAAATCACGAAATACCACGTGGGAGAGGGAGGGGTATAGTAAGATCTCACGTGTATTTGTTTTTTAACTATTTTTTTTTAATTCAAACATTTTCAAAAAAAAATTCAAACATGTTAGTTTTTTCACGTAACTAAAAATACATTTGATGCTTGATGGGGGAGGGGGAGTAATTTTGAATATCACTATTTATCACCAAGGGGGACAGGGGTCCAAAAATTCTTAAAAACTTGCTGACGTGATTAATGATGTGTTTTAATTATAAGTATGACCTGTTGACTTTTCTACGCCCAATAGAATGCATCTCTTTCATTTATTTTATAAGCTGAGAATTATGGTTCGCAATCTTATATCTGATTGAGATTTTCTAAATAGATCTGTAGAATAACTGTAATCAGTTGAGAATTCTACTTAGTATCATTAAGGCAAACGCGTACATGCATTTCACATACGTAGCTTGAATAATTTCTTCTGAACGAATAGATATCATTGCATTCCTCAAGGATTCCATTTCTAATCTTATTGAATAATCTTACTGGTCGACTCTTCAGAAAAGCTATACATGGTTGAATCTTTTGAAAATTAATTTTAGAAATATTTTAGATCTCATTTTCGGTTATTCTATGGAGTATCACTATTAAAAAATATTGCATTTTTGCTCTAGATAAACTGATTTATATTGATCATACAAATATATTTACTAAGAAAGAAGTAGGTATTTGTGATATAATATAGAGCAGGTACTATTTGTATAAGTTGTTCTGCACATTCTGACGGTCAATATATTCATGCATAAAATTGTTACTATAAAGAGAATTTATAATCTTCTATTAGATGTTATCCAATAAATACAGAAGTCACAAATCAATATTAAAATGCTCTTGTCATTCTTTTCAAAGAAATTCTTAAATAATTAATAAATGGCAAAACACACAGAAATGAAATACATATGCAAATATATTAAAGAAAATTTGAAAATAAAATGAAAGTCAAAATTAGGTTTGTTATATTATATGCAATTTTCAAAAAATTAAAATATATATTTATATCACACAATATTTTATTAGTTGGAAAGTTGATCAATAATAGTATGTCTTTTTAGAAGGTTTAACTACAGTTTTCTCTTCAATATTTCACGTACTATAAGTCCTTTAAAGTAGCATTACTTGTTTGCGATGAATTAAGAACCCGTTTTCATTTCTTAGCCAATCGCCAATATCTCGATATGTTTTCGATAACAAGAAATGTCGGAGATGCCAATTTCCTTCGATTGTATGACATTTGTTGTGAAGGAACATCAAATTGCCAATTAAAGCAATAAAACTGTATGCGACCGCGCGACATTGACAAACTGGTCGAAAAACATTTTCAAGAAAATTACTTTCATGTTCAAATACACACCCGATTTGAAATGATCAAAAAACATGCGATTCATATATACTTCGCGAGGTGTCAATTAGTTTTAAATGCAAGTCTAAAGGTTCCAGAGTAACACAGAAAAAAGTCGAAAATAAACATTGACATACGCACAATAAATTGAGTTTTATGAATATTTAAATGGTTTGACAACTTTTCTTATCTAATTTTTGGATTTACTGGCAAACTTAGTTCCATACTTTAAACAAATTATTCCACTTTTCAAGCAGAATTTCCCTATTTCGTACATAACTATTAATATGTGTATTTTTTATAATACTTTATTAAGGATATTTTAATAGTTTACATGACCTTTTTAACTTCCTTAGGGTAGTTATAGTAATGAGCTGAAAATCGAAAATGAAATTTTTTGCATATCTTCACGTTTTGAAGGTTTCTGAACATTTTGGCATATCTCAGAAAAAATGGATGTGTGTGTGTTTTGTATGTCAGCATTTTTTCGTCTACGTTCAAAAAACTTTCGATTCCTATTGATAGGGAGATGTGGTGATTAGTTTTTGGCAAAGGCAGGTCCAGCCGTTACGGATATGCAGAGCAAAGAGTGCAGAGCAAAGAGATTTGACTTTAAATAAATAATTTTAACTTTGTAATTCAGTTTTATAATTCCTATGAATAAATATTAGATAATGTAACATTGTTTATAATAATCTAATTGATAGCATTTAATATTCCTCGAACATTTCGTTACGGTACGGGAAGTTCCAGCAATTTGCCTTAAGGCACTATGCAATACTTATTTTTGGATTTCGTCACAATATTGAAATTTTGAAAACTCACTTCACTTTCAATGTACAATTATATAGATTTTTTATGTCTACTTTTTTAGCTAATTTTGAGTTTTGCATAAACATACACAGTAGAATCTCGCTAATCCGACACTATTAAAAACCGAAGGATATCGGATTACTGGAATGTTTTGATACTGGATTATAGTAAAAAAGTCTTAATTTTTATCAAGTCATTAGAAATAAATTCCCAAAAAAATGTTCAGCGCATGAGTTGCGACGGTGTCAGATTACTGGAAGTGTCGGTCTATCTAAATGTCGGATTAGTGAGATTCTACTATAATTGTTTAATTACTTATATAACTACCTATAACAAAATAAACTAAATAGAGTATAATTGATTATTAATTTTATAATACTAATGGCTAGCATCATTTATACTCGTTTATCTATGGCTAGCACTATCTAGTTCCGGGTTCCTAGCTTTGATATCAAATTTCTGTTCTTGTAATTTGAAAGGGGAAATTGCCCTTCGTTTACTTGGCTTTAGCATTTAATCATATGAAAACTATTAGACGTAAGAGCCATACGTCATAGCAACATAGTAAGTTGCCTCCCTTGAAACATTAGGTTATAAACCTTTAACAAACAACTTATAGCACCACATGTAAGGTTAAAGTAGTTCTGATTGCTGTTCAAACAATAAATAAAAAGAATTATAATAGTCTAATTTGATTGAACTATTTGTTTTCTATCAACAAACTAAATAGTTTGGGATCGCCATGATATACAGGGCCGGTCCTACCTTGAATGCGATGCATGCAAAAAATGCGCACGCCTTAGGGGGCGCCAAAACGAAATTCGAATATAAAATTTATAATATAGTTCTTTCAATATCATTAAAAATATATAATTTGTTTGCATCTTTTACTAATCTTAGATAATATTTTTTTAATTTAACTTCAAAACAACAATCTGATACACGATTGGAAACTATAGATGACTACATACACATCGGCGCATTAGGAGAAGTTTACGTTGCAATTCTAGTTATTTTAAATAATGAAATATTGAATTAAAAATGAGAGGCTAGAATTTTTTTGCTATGAACGGAAATGTTTATATGATTCTAATGACAAACTTTTCAAAAAGTTAAAATAATAGGGGGGGCGCTAGAAAAAAATTGGCATGCGAGCGCTGAGTACCCCAGGGCCGCCCCTGATGATATATATTATATAACATATGATATTTTTCAATTTAGTAGCAGTAGTATCAATATTAATAGATTTATCTTCTTTGTACGCTAGAAAATAAAAAAAAATGGTTGTTGTTTTTATCTAAATATTTTTCTTAATCAAAATTACAAACATTTAAAACTTTTCAAACAATTCTAATTCGCCAAAAATATCTAATTTTTATAAAAAAAAACTAAATATTTGAACTAAGATATTTCACACAAGAAATGCCTCAAAAAAAATTATGATTTGAACCATTTTTTTTTTCGATTTTTCTAATAGAAACTGTAATGAATAATAAATGACTATTTCAAACTCCAACTATAAGTGACTATATTGATTTATTAATAACTATTCCAAAATGTTCCAGAATGAAATATTTACTTTTTTTTTTTTCAGATGTCGCGATCGCTCTCCGGCGGCTGGCTGCTGCTATGGCTGCTCCTGGTCGAACAAGCAGGCCGCTCGCTGGCAGCCGCACCAGTTTTCGATCCGGCAACCAGAATGCGGACAGTTCTTGTACCTTCGGACACAGCGGTCGGCACTGTCATTTATCGTTTGAGGGCATCAGATGACGAATTTGATTATCCACTTCACTTCGAACTCTTAGGTAATATAATATCAAATTTATTTCCAACTCTTTCTTTTGGATGTGAAATAACGACCAGAAGCACATATATTGAAGTCATTGACTTGATGATCGAAAGATTTATAGTCTCTTAAAATTATCAAAAAAAAGTTATTTTAACAAAATATGAAATTTTTGATATTGATAGTATCTTATATATAATATGCTACTACAGACTTTACCAGTTATGTTAAATCGAGAAAACACTTTATATTGATTTGTGTTCGTCCTTTGTGGTAATTTGGTTTCTAGTAAAATTTATGTTAATGATAAAAGCAGCTACAAGAATTGTTATCAAAATATACAGGGTGCCTCAGACCTTGACGTCAAACCGAAACAGGGTGATATTATGGACCTTAACTGTCCCGGAAAAATTTAGACAAAAATTATGTTTTTTGATTGGAAATTATGAGCTTTTAAGCTAGAGCTTTGTTGAAATTATGACCACTCTTCGGTTATTGTTGTTAACTTTTATTTATGTTATTCATTTAAACTTTGGAATCGTAACATTTCTAGGGCCAGAATAAAAAATAGTACATTTGCTTTAAGTTTTTAAGACTTTTTGTTGAACCATGAATTCAAATTTTTTATGATCGATCGACTTTGAGAGGCCCTTCTTTAAAAAACATACTAAAATGTGTCGGCAAGTTTTACCGAATAAATTTAAGAATTGTAAAATGGTAAAATACTTGATGATTTTATTATTGAAAATATTGAGTAGAAAAATTAAAACCGAAAAATGATCCCATAATAGCTAACGTACCCAAATCCTTTTGTTTCGCATAAAATCTTGGTAGATTCCTAATTTAACTTTAAAATTATGAGCATTTGATTGATACTGAACCACTTATACCAAAATCATCACAAATAAGTAAAATTGATTATGATAACACGAAAGTTGAAAGATTGATAAATTTGAAACGCAATAAGATATATAAAATTTAAAATTAGTCGATAGTAATAACGCAAACCTAAATTTTATGATAGTATAATTTTATATAACCAGTCAAATATAACACACCTGCACTGTTCTGTTTACTGTGTCGATCTGCGATGAAAATATTATGCAGGACGGTTTACATGTCCAATCGAGAAACAGAAATATTAACTTCCCGTAGAGTGAGTTATAGTTATCGCAAAATAATCGAAAATTACAATCTTTGCATATCTTATTTATTTTTATTTATTTATTTATTTATTTAAATATATAGCCCACAGATTTCTCCAAGAGGACTCAAAAATACAATTATTTGACATAATGAATAACAATTAAAATATACACAAAATTACAATATATAGTTAGTAACATAAAATGCTAAGATAAAATTTCATACAATGCAGAATGTAACAATAATATTTATAAACAGAAAATAATAAGATATTTGAAAGAAAATAAAAAGATTAACTTGTGCAGATGGAGATTATTTGATTAGGTGATGTGTTGTGAATGTCTATTTCATTATTAATTAAGTTAAAGTTAGAGGATATCTTCACGTTTTAAAAGTTTCTGAACATTGTGGCATAGAAAAAATGGATGTATGTGTGAATGTATGTATGGATACAATTTTTCGTCCACGATTTCGGGCGCATGGATCAACCGATTTGAATTATGTATTCAAAAAACATTCCATTCCTACTGATGGGGAGACGTGCTGATTAGTTTTTGGCCAAGACAGGGCTAGCCGTTTCGAAGATACGGGACAAAAAGTGCTAAAATTGGTAATCCAGTTTTTGAGGTAACGGAGCGTTGTATTGACGAAATGAACAATTGATTAAATTTTTGGGTAGGCAAGTCTAGCGGTTTCGGAGATACAGAGAAAAATGTAAAAAAATGCCATTTCGGTCTAAATTGATCATTAGACATATGCACATCAAATTATCAGGTATTTTATAGATATTTTGAAGATAAGAAAAAAAATTGTTATATTTTTTGGGTTTCGTACCAAGATTTATAATTATTACAGTTCACTTATATGGTTAAAAAAATTCAAAATCTTCAGAAAAAAATTTTCAAAATTTTCAAAAATACCCAAAACTTAAAATTGTTTATATTTGATATGCGTTATTCTACATGTAAGAAATATATCCTCAGATGGATTCATTCAGGATTTATTCTTAATGTAAACTTCAAGTGTTTTGAGTGATAAGATCGTCACTGTATATATATATTTTTTTATTAACTCTTTTATTTACAACTGTCCAGTATAGGACATTCAGTAAATTTAATGGATTTACAATAGTCCGCCAAAAAGGTACATTGTATACTACTTTGACATGTTGGAAAAAACAACTCAGTAGTTGTTTTTTCGATATAAAATTCACAATATTTACTTATTAAATAATTTCTTATAAATAATGATTAAGTTATTTCCATTTTTTTCTCAGGAGAGTTGTTGGCTCAAATCTAGTGGCGCTTTTCTTTTCAATCTTCTTCGATAGTTCTCTGTTATCAATGAGTTTGCTAATGTATTTGGGTGATTGATTAGCTTGTTTCTATACTTCTGTGCTGTTTTTGTTATTACTTCATTTATAGTAGGTGTATTCGTGTCGGCATGAATCAACCAGTTGGGAACATATTTTGGAGCTCCTAAGGCAATTTTCAAAAATGTGTTTTGAAATTTCTGTATAATTTCTATATTGGTCTTGTGAACACTGCCCCACAATTGTATACCATAACACCAAATTGGTTTGAATAAAGAACAATTTGGTCACTGTATATGAACGAATAAATATATAGAAATTATAATTCTCTCTTTGAAAATATTTAAAACAATTGTTATTGATCATTGATCAATATTTATTGATTATTATTTTTTTTGCTCAAATATTTAATTGTGGTACGGGAAGTTTCAGCAATTTGTGTTAAGGCACGATGCCATGCACCACTATCTGAAGTAATTTAAATATTTTTTAAGATCCTGTTGAAAAACGCCTGTCACTACTTACCCCTGGCTCCCCTATATATAAATTTCTATTTCTATTTCTATTTTCAGAAGGAGCATCATCCTCCGCATTCTCGGTGGATTCGCTGCCTTGTACGCGTTATAACTCCGTCTGTCAGGCGAATGTCGTGCTCAGGCGGAGGCTGGAACGCGGAAGATATTACGATTTTCGGGTGCGAGTGGCCGATACTGCGGGCGATTCAACCACTTTGGATTGCGCTGTGAGCGCGACCAATGGCACGACGCCGATACAGGACACGTTTCCGAAAGCTCCGGGTCTTATCATGGTGCCAGAGGTAAGGGAATTAAGTTCTGATGCGTGTTGGGTTATTACGATTGTTTTTGAGGGGATCGTTAAGGTTTTTATTACGGTTGCAGGGTTTAATTGAATGTTTGAATCGTACGATTGCTAATGAAGAATTATAGGTTTGTTCTGTAAATATACTATTCGATTGAACATTACAATAAATTGAGCAACTCTAGACTCTATAAAATGCTGTATGGTTTTAGCTGAGACCTATTAACTAATAAATTATAATTTTTAGTCAAATAATTTATTGAAAATTGAACTAAAACTAAACCAATAATTTTCTTTATTTAAAAAGGCTATTTATAATATTTATCATAGTGAATATGCTACAAATATTGTCCATTTTCGATAATAACTTTTAGAAATGATATTTCTAATAGGTTTTCACTTTTATAAATATCACATAATTATATAGAGCTCAATGTCAAGCCGAAATTGGGTGATATTATTGATCATAACTATATAACGAAACTAGTTGGTATTGGTATTTTGCCTTGAGGCAAGTTACATGAACTTCCCGATATGTGTTAATAATCGACTTAATCAATACAAAATAAATTAATTTATGAGCGATTAAAAGTATTCAGAGTGGATCTATTACACATAATTGAAAACGAACGAACACGGTAACTCGGAGTATTTTCTAAAAGCAAATTTTCAAAAATCAACAATTTACATAATTGAATCAGTTTCCGCAGGACTTTAATAGTAGGTATGTTCATTAAGACCAAGTACTACTATCGTTATGCCAAGTAAATCCTCTAATTGTAATATTAACAAATAAAGGCCGTAATATTTCAGTAAGTTCTATAAGACCATGATATATATCGCCAAAAAAAGTTTCATAAAAATCGGCTTAAATTTTTTTTCAACAGTTAATTACAAGAAAACTGCTCGGTAGATTTTCACCTAAAACTAATCAGTATCATTCCCAAATAATATCTTTCGAACAGTTTTTGATTTTTTAAAATCGATTGGTTAGTTTGAGCTTAAATGTGGACGAAAATTTTAACACTTTTTTTCAAATTACAAAGAAACGGTTTGGCAGATCGTCTCACACTGACAAACGATAGTCCTCATCAAGATACATCAAATGGCTTTTAAATTTCTGAAATCGGTTCAGGCGTTTTTGAGAAGACGTCGATCAAAGGTCTAATTCTGACAAATGCCAAAAGAACGATATACTAATTTTTGCAAACTTTGGTGAATTTTTAAAGCTAAACGAGTTGTCGTAGGGCTGTAATATTTTAGTATGATCTAGAAGACTATGGTATCTACCGCCAAAAAAATAATAATAATAATCGTCGATTTTTTTTTTAATCTTTATTACAAGAAAACGGCTCGGGCGATCTTTACCAAAAACTAATCAGCACGATTCCCAACCAATATTTTTCGAACGGTTTTTGAATTTTCAAAATCGATTAAGAATTGCGGGCTAAAACGTGGATGAAAAATTTTTCACTTTTCTGTGATTTACAAAGAAACGGCTCGGCCGATCGTCACACAAAACTCAGAAACGCTGACGCCTCATCGAAATACATCGACTGGCTTTTAAATTTTTGAAATCGGTCCAACCGTTTTTGAGAAAACATCGATTTACGACAAAAAATCTGTTCACATACACGCACACACACACATACTTTTTCCAAATTTGGTCTCATTCGATTCAGAATGGCTTGAAACGTCGAGAAAACATAAAATTAGTGAGTCGGATTTTCTGATGAAAACATAAACTTCTCCTTCGGGAAGTTAACAATTAGAAAAATAATTTCTTCTCAAGTATTTTGAAAATTATGTTTTCAAATTAGGTTTTCAAGAAAATTTTAAGTGCAAGTGAGCTATTTTACTATTTCACAATCCTCATTAAATTCGCCCACTTTTGATGAAACTTGCCAACACACTTTAGTGTTTTTTTTATAAAGAAATACTTCTCAAAATCGACTATTTTTAAATCTAAATTGAAGTGCCTTATTCAAAAAATAGTTTTACTATTGTTTATATATATTGCTTGTTGGATTGCCTTAAAAAAATAGATGAATGAAATTCTAACAATTATATATGACCAATGGTGTTCCTTGATGGATTTCCTTAAAGATCGCACTAAAAAAGTTTCAGCAGTTTAAAAATATTTTAGTTAAATATGAAGTAGAATCCGATAGTAAAATAACGAAATGCAAGAATATAATTTGGTAAATACTATAATATCGTTGTGGTGAGCCTAAATGCATGCTGAGGTTCGAATTTAAAATTACATAATACCTACTCAAAATGAAAATTTATTGCGTCTTTAACTATTTATTTTAATATTTTGTACATGTTAGAATAAATTTGAAAATCATTTGAAATGAGACCAAACCGCAGATATTATGGTTGTACGCAATTCTATTACTCTTCAAATTGATTAACACAACTTTATTGAAAGAGTTTATGTGAAAGTTCTGATTTCATGTGGCTCCTTATCAATTGTAAATTTATCATTTACCTTCAATTGAAAGATTCAATCAGAGCATGCGATAACAGGCCAATATGCGGTAAAATATCTCTATAAACATCTATTGTGACCACAAAACTGATACATAAATTTACTTAATAAGAAACATTAGAAAGTTATAGCCGATGTAAATTCATATATCGATTTTAACCGCATCTTCTTACTGTATAGAAAATTCGTTATATTTCAATTCAATTTAGTTTCAAATCGAATGGGTTTCATTACATCATTTTGTTACAGTGAGTATTCTTAACTTCCATTATATTGATTAAATATACTTGGAACACTTTGTTTGGTATTTTCTCCGTTCTTCGCATAATGGGCTACTGAGAAAATAATTTGTCAATGGCAAAGTAATTTTATTTTCATGAGTTGCCTCATATGTCACGCTGTCTTTTGTAAGTCATGACGAATTGCCAAATGACTAGATCTTTATCGATACATGGAACAAGTAATTTATTAGAATTTCACTTAATATTTAATGTGATTTCATTTAGTACATTAAGGCCAGGTAATTGAAATATTGATTTACCTAAATATTTTCACCAGCCGAAAAATTAACTCCATAATTTATTAAAGACTGTGTCAACAATTTGGGTTATACATAAACAACTAATACAAAAAAAAATAGTAGCCAATCGAAAATGTATCACTGTTATTTCTTATTTATCAGTTCATTCAATTTAGTATGGTTCCACATTTTATGCAAAAATGTAAAAAATTAAAATTTACAAATCATTTAACATAAATTGTTTATACATATTCAGACAACAAATTAAATGTATAGAATATATAAAGATTTACTTTGTAAAAGAGATTATCATTGTACCATCGACATGCGGGAACATATACACTTTTTAGAAAGAGTTTGTATAAATCAAAAAGTAATTCAATGGCTTGTTACTGGCATCAAGCTTTTTATTAGACAATAAGTTTTGCAACTGTCTGATAAGATGAGCTATAAGTAAAACTTTATAAAAAAAACAGATTTTAATAATAAAAAATCATCTGAGGTGTTCAAGTCGAGATGAATCAGCCAGTTCGGGCTATATTTTGGCGCCCATGAGGCAATTTTCAAAAATTTGTTCTGAATTCTGTATTATTTCTATATTAGTCTTATGAGCACTGTCCGACAATTGTATTCCATAGCACCAAATTGGTTTGAATAAAGTTTTTTATAAAAGTAACTTATTGTATCAGCTTAATTTGGATTTAATCCCTAAAAACCAGTGAAGCTTTTCGGTTTTTATCTCAAGTAGAATGATCTTTTTTTATCTGGTCCTGGTATTGTTCTGGTGGTTATATCAGTAAATTAGTTTGGGTGATCTTTGAGAACGCTTTTGTACTTGTCTGAATGAGTTCATTTATGTGATTTCGTGTGCTGGTGTAGAATGTAAAATGAGCAATCTTTTCAACCTAGCCCTGGTAGTGTTCTGGCAGAGTTCTCTGGCAAGTGAGTTTGGGTGATTTTGGATGATTCTCTCTATGAATTGGAATATTTTTAGGGCATTTACAATTTCTTTTAATAATGCATCATCTTTGAGTTTTTAAGACCTTTGATTTGGAGGCTGCCGATTGTCCAAATTGGTTTAATAATGATTTTGTGGAAGTAAATGAGCCGAGATATCTCTTTCTCGCCTCTTTAAACTGGAGTCGAGCGACATTTTTTATATTCGCAAGTTTCTGCGGTTTGAAAATTACCTTACCAGTTTTCCATTGGTAAATCTGTTTAAAATAAGGAAGTACTTTTTACGTAGGATTCGTTCGTAGGTAAGTGGCTAGAACTACTCGATCTGGATCAGAATTCCCGGGTTTGATTCCGCTTCCCGGCTTTTCTTAGAAGTATAGATATAGAGCAATATGTTTCGAAATGATCTGGCATTGCTGCATTATTAAATATTCGCCTTATTACAAAAATTGTCATAATTATTCATCACAGAGAGATAGGGCATCTGTTTGGCTTACATTTGTAAGACCGACTAGTATTAAATATATTATTAAGTCAAATCAACACAACATACATGCATACAACATAGGAGTCTCCAATTCTGATTGCTATTCAAAAATAATTTAGAAAATGAAATCACGTTTAATTTGAAGGACCTGAAAATAATTCATTGATTTGATAAGAAATAAATACATTTATCATAATTTTAAATAAATTTTATGTGAAGACTAGTCACCTGAATAAGCTATCTACTTGCAATTATCAAATGATTGATAACTTATAGTAGTAAATCATCTATTGGAATGCCTATTTATCTATGCCATACTCAAGTAAGTCAATCATAAAATGCGCACATAAATCTCCTTTTGCGAGAACAGGAAGCGAAGAATATAACAACTTGAAACCATCAGGATATTTCAGTAGTCGGTTTGATGCAGGGGTATAAAACTATTTTGAAATAACTAAACAACATCGTTTATATTAAATTGACCAAGTGTTTTATATATAATCTATGTTTCATAATATCTAAACATTAGTGTATATAAAT